TTTTTTTTTTTTTTTTTTGAGGTGGGATTTTGCTCTTGTTGCAACCTCCACCTCCCAGGTTCAAGCGATTCTCCTGCCTCAGCCTCCCAAGTATCTGGAATTACAGGCATGCACCACCATACCCAGCTAATTTTTTGTACTTAGTAGAGACAGGGTTTCACCATGTTGGTCAGGCTGGTCTTGAACTCCTGACCTCAGGTGATCCACCCCCTCGGCCTCCCAGTGTGCTAGGATTACAGTCATGAGCCACCGTGCCTAACCTGGAGAACCAAGCTTGATAAAGGACAGGAACCAAGGCAGATTTGGGGACCCAAGTACCAGAGCAAATGAACTTTCCTGTGTTAGCTCCACAGTCCGTGGTCCAGGAGACAGAGTCTGATTGGCCAAGCTTGGGGTCAGGTGACCCTGTGAATGGGGGAGGGCAGGGCATGTTGGTTGACATTCCTATCCTTACTACCCATAGCAGAGGAAAGGTGATATCTGAAAAGGATATCAAGTCAATTGTAGTGAAATGAAGCTGGATAACCAAAAACCAATAGATGTCACCATATGACTTTTAGGACAGTTTTTATTAAGTGTGTAAAGTACTTGGATTGGCACTTGAGAAATAATAGATTTTTCAATATATGACTGAATCGATTGAGAGGTTGCCTGCTGTTTTGAAAAGGATCCTGCCTGTGATACTCTGCCTCCTAAACTAAATTGTAAGCTTCATGAAGGCAAAGATGCCGGTATTTATTAGGTTGGTGCAAACGTAACTTGCAATTGCTTTTGCACCTACCTAATAAATCTAAGTTCTCCACACATTAGTTGGTATAAGATGTTGTGGGCTTTTTCTCCAGAACACCTGTGACAGAGGGTCTTCACCTGATAATCTATATGCCTAGAGATGTGCTCAGGTGGCAGCACAAATAAGAAGGTTTGTGGGAAATGAGCAGTTCACGGTGCGCTTGCTCTGATGCCACTCTTGACGGACTGCTCTGGACAGCATGTGGGAATGCAAGGGAGTGAGGCTGTCTTTATGCCTAGGGTAGCCTTGAAGCACCTTACTTTATGAAAGACTGCATTCGTCACAAACTTTGGCATTTGAGAAATGTGTGTGTGCATGCACTTACACAACAAAAACAAGAAATGACCTTTTTCTGTTTTTCTAATTTAAAAAATTTTTTTTAAGGCAGGATCTCACTTTGTCACTCAGGCTGGAATGCAGTGGCATGATCTTGGTTCACTGCAGCTTCAACCTTCTGGGTTCAAGCGATACTCTTGCCTCAGGCCCCCAAGTAGCTGGGACTACTGGCGGGTGCCACCACACCTGGCTGATTTTTTATTTTTATTTTTTGTAGAAACAGAGTTTCGCCATGTTGCCTAGGCTGGTCTCGAACTCCTGAGCTCGAGTGATCTGCCTGCCTTGGCCTCCCAAAGTGCTAGGATTGCAGACGTGAGCCACTGCGCGTGCCCGGCCTGTTTTTCTAAAATTAAATTCAGTTGAAGTGACCATCACCAAGCTTCATGACAAGTTCAAGTTCAATGTCAGATCATTTTGGTGTCCCTTGCCTGTGTCCTTCCCACTTGAGATCATGTGCACCACACCCCACCCCAGCCCCCATCCCAGGGCTTATAGGCAGTCCAGTGAAATGAACCCTGACCAGTATTAGTGAGTGGTGCCCCTGGCCCTTGGCCAAACAGCCCTGCTGACTGCCCTTTTCCTACCCCTGAACACCTGGGTAAAGGTCCTGCGCAGAGGTTACCTGGTACTCATCCTCCCACACATACAGCCTTGACGATCCTAGCTTTTGAGGCCTCTAAGAGCTCCTCAGTCAAGAGGTACACAGGACCCCATCTTGAAGCAAACCAGCCTCTCCCTTCTGTCTACAAGGATCTACCCACTGTTAGCATTAGGGCCCTCTTCCCTTCAATGTTTATTGTTTTGTTTTGTTTCATAATTTAACTAAGAGCTTTATGGAGGTATAGTTCACATACCATGCAATTTTTCCATGTAAACTGTAGAATTCAGTAGTTTTTAATATATTCACAGAGTTATGTCACTATTACAGCAATTTTAAAGCATTTTTATCACCCCTAAAAGAAACCCTGTACCCATTACCAACCACTTCCATGCCTCACCCCACCACCCCTGCTCCCAACCCTAAGAAATCAAAAATCTATTTGCTGTCTCTGTGGATTTGCCTATTCTGGACATTTCATATAAATGGGCTCTTACACTCTATGGTCTATTCTGATTGGCATCTTTTACTTAGCATAATGTTTTCAGGGCTCACCCATGTTGTAGCATGTTGTATGTTCCACTTTATGGCTGAATAATATTCCACTGTACGGATATACTGAATTATATTTCTCCTTTCATCTGTCTTTAAAAATTTTTTAAAACATATATATATGTTTTTATATATGTTTTTTAACATATATATGTTAAAAACATATATATAACTATATATTATATATTTTTATGCAAAGATTTTCTAAATTTTATTTTAATTTTTGAAATGAAGTTTCACTGTTGTTGCCCAGGCTGGAGTGCAATGGTGTGATCTCGGCTCACTACAACCTCCACTTCCCAGGTTCAAGCAATTCTCCTGCCTCAGCCTTCCAAGTAGCTGGGATTACAGGCACCCGCCACCATGCCCAGCTAATTTTTTTGTATTTTTAGTAGAGATGGGGTTTCACCATGTTGACCAGGCTGATCCACCTCAGGTGATCCACCTGCCTCGCCCTCCCAAAGTGCTGGGATTACAGGCATGAGCTACTGCACCTGGCAGATTTTCTAAATTTTAAATGCTGATCAATTAAAACAAACACAATGTGCGACAGAGGACACAAAATTGTGGTTAAGACTAAATGCTGAGTCCAGGTGCGGTGACTGACATCTATAATCCCAGCACTTTGGGAGGCCAAGGTGGGAGGATCACCAGAGGTCAAGAGTTCAAGACCAGCCTGGCCAACATGGCAAAACCCCGTCTCTACCAAAAATACAAAAAATTAGCTGGGCGTGGTGGCACACACCTGTAATCCCAGCTACTCGGGAGGCTGAGGTGGGAGGATGGCTTGAGCCTGGGAGATGGAGGAGATCGTGCCACAGCATTCCAGCCTGGGCAACAGAGTGAGACTCCATCTCAAAAAAAAAAAAAAGAGTAAATGCTGAATGTGATCCCTGAGAGATGCGGAGACATGACTAATCTCAGGGAGTCTTCAAAGGGTCAGCTGGAGGGGACACTCACCTGGCAACTCCTGCCCTCTTATTTGGCAGTGCAAAAAGGCTCTTCGTCTTTTTGGAGAAGGAAATCCCCGTATCTATGGAAAAGACAAGGGATTTGAAAGGCCCAAGTCTAGAGTCTAAAGCTCTGGATTGGGAAGGAGGTGAAATTCTTCTCATTCTTTGGCTCATGAGTCTGCTGCAGCAGGAAAAAAAACAAACCCCAGGTTGATGCCTACATCAAATTACTGCTAAATTGTCCTGCAAATTACTGTAGCCTAGTTCAGGATAGATTGTGACCTGCTGGCGTGACCTTGATTATGACTGTGACCTCCACCACGGTTGAAAACTGCTGATTTTGTATAAGATGTGCCCTGAGGCCGGGCGTGGTGGCTCAAGCCTGTAATCCCAGCACTTTGGGAGGAAGAGGCGGGCGGATCACTTGAGGTCAAGAGATCGAGACCATCCTGGCCAACACGTTGAAACCCGTTGGTGAAACCCGTCTCTACTGAAAATACAAAAAGTAACCAGGCGTGGTGGCGGGCATCTGTAATCCCAGCTACTCGGGAGACTGAGGCAGGAGAATTGCTTGATCCGAGGAAGTGGAGGTTGCAGTGAGCCGAGATCGCGCCACTGCACTCCAGCCTGGGCGACAGAGCGAGACTCTGTCTCAAAAAAAAAAAAAAAAAAAGATGTGCCCTGAATCCGTGAAGACAAATTTGTGGAACCAAGAAAGAGAAACAGTAATAGTGTGATCTTATGTGGAGAAAACACCCTCGTCATGTAGGTTGGGGAATGGAAAGTGTCTAAGTTTATGACAGCAACAGCAGGTGTTTATTGAGTAAATAAGCAGTCTCTGTACTACTGCCCACTTTTCATTTTGTTTTGCCCGTGACCATGAAGGAAGTGGGTATTTTTTAAAAGGAAAGAAATTAATAGAACTCAGCATCGGTGTAGTGCTTGGTGTTTGCAAAGAGGTTTCAAATGCATCTCACAGTCTGAGCCTGTGAGAATAGGCGTTTTTACCTGTTTTACAAATGAGGCATTTGTATCATTGAGACATAGAAGAGGAGAAATTACTTGATTAAGGTATTCCACCAAAAGGACCTATAACTTAAATCTGTATCTTTGATTCTAAGTACCCCATCTTTTCCACAGTGACAGTGCTTTCCAATCCTCTCTCCAGTACTCTCCAATTTTGTTGTATCTAAGTAAAAAGTATAGATATTTTTGAACTTAATACCATGTTTAAGTTTATATTGATATTCCCCACATAGAAAACAATAAAAGGAAATGATGGTTCCCAAGGTGTTTTGGTATTTTTTACATTCTTTGGTTGAGTCTCAACACCAATAATTAATAGTTGGGAGCAAGTGTGCCTGTGAATTACTGCAAGTAGAAACTCTATATATGTCATTAATTCTTACAACAGTCTTACAAGGTAGGTATCACTCATTATTATTATTAATTCCTATTTTAGGGTTGAGGGAAATAAAGCTCAGAAATTTAAATACCTAGCTAAAGCTAGTATGTTTCTGAGTTAGGATTTAAGCCCAATTTTGTAAAACACTAAGATGATTTATTATTATTATTATTATTATTATTATAATGCTGCCTTCCAGAAAACGTGTAGCTCCTTGGAAGTTATTGAATTTTGGAGTCGTCAGCTGGATACATTTGGATATTTTAAGAATGAAGTTACCTGCTAGGACTACACACCGTCTTTATTAAAGCTTTGTGCAAAACCAGGTGCTACAGTAGATGCTCTTTCTTTGCATCTTTCCTTTAGGTCTGTCAGTTTGTCGTCTCTGTCAATGGGCTTAACGTCCTGCACGTAGACTACCGGACCGTGAGCAATCTGATTCTGACGGGCCCACGGACGATTGTCATGGAAGTCATGGAGGAGTTAGAGTGCTGAGCTCCTGGGCCTCCCAGCCCTCCAGCGGCCTGTGGGTGATCGAAGCCAGAATGACACAAAGCAATGCAATGGCAAGATTTCCATGCAAATGGATGGTTTTGGACATACGAATCTTCTCCGCACATACATGTCTAAAGTTGAGTTTTATACACTGAATGTGGAAGAACCGGGTATCATATCTTTTTTAAAAAATGTCAGTGTAGAAAACATTTGGGAAACCGTTTTCCTACATGATAGAACTGCCTTACTAGATTTCTATTTGTAGTTCTCATTCATTGTTTTTTATCTTAGTTTGCATTGTTTTGTATCTTAATGTGTTGAAATGCTTCTCTAGCACAAACAGCCACATCTAAAGTCCCCTTCCTCAGAGTCAATAGAGTAGTTGTTAAAGGTTTTAAATTGTACTTTCTCCAAAATTAGCATGCAACTATTTAATAGGGAATCTAGATTTCACCAAGATTCAAATCAAAGCAACATTTAAAGGAATAAGACCTGCTCACTAGCATTTTCAAGGGGATTCTAAAGCATTCAAGTGCTTAAAAGCCATAAAAGATGACTTCTTAATTCCTGCCTTTAGTGTCAACTTTTAAGTTAATACAGGTTTCAATTGTGGCATTAGCAAAAAAAAAAAAAAAAAAGAAACAAACAAAACAAACTTTGTGATGCTATGGGTGGGGCTAGTTAGGGAGAGACTACATAAAATTGTGTGCCCCTATTTTCTTTCTGATCCTAAATCATTTTGTTTTATAAATCAGCTATAGCATCTTTCTAGAATTAATCCTGAGTATGTTGAATGTTAAAATAGAGAAGTTTGTATATACACATTATTAAAAATCAACCCTTCTGGCAATATTTCACTTTGAAGGTGTCTGTTTTTAAAGGAAGTCTAAAACTTTGCTGATACGTGATAAAACTTGAACTCTAAGTTGCCTCCTTAGCCTGAATTTTTACTAGCTTTCTAGGGTAACATATTCTAAGGACATGACATGCTGCTTATTTGGGGGGATTATTTTTCACCAAAATGATCATCTTGTGTTGTAACTTTTCAGCTCACTTGTATATATGCATGTTTTCATTTTTGGTCTAGAAAATAGTGCATTTTGGGGCTTGGTGTGCAGAGGAAATTCCCCAAAGTGCCAAATTAGGGAGTCAGGGAATAGTAAATTCTTCATTCCAAATAATGGATCTGAATTATGAGGTTAATTTTTTATCATGCATTAACAAAATAAAATATGAGAATTGTACCACAGTCATTTTTTTCATTATGCTATCATAATGTATACGTACTGGCGGAATGGACCTACCATGCTAAATATGTTATATATATATATTTCTGGTAATCCAACTTTTCTGATTTGTAGCTTTAGTCAAGAATAGGATTTTGGAGTGACAGAGAATGTCTTAACAGTAATACTGTTGATATACATTTGAGAAATACTGTCACCGCTGTGTGGGTGTGCGTTTGTATGGTATGGCAGACTGTGCATTTAATATATATGATATCCTTTAACTCTCATTACAACCTTGCAAGGTAGATATTAGCATCCACATTTTTCAGATGTGGAAGGTAAGTCTGAGCAAGTTTTAAAATGGTCTGTAAATTCACACGGCTGCAGGAACTACTAAGTGAAATAGACTGACTGTAAACACAGTTTAACGCTAAATCCCGTGTTACTCCCCTCAACTTTTCCTCATTTTAGGACCTTATATTGAGGGTTTATTCTGAGCCAGGCTCTGTGCTAAGACTTTACGCCATTTGTCCTTATTGACCTATGAAGTCAATACGGTCATTATCTCCATTTTACAAATGAGGAAACTGACTTGTAAAGTGGTTAGTCATATGCCCAAGGCCACAAAACTAATAAAGTGGGAAACTTTACCACTGGCTTAAAAAATTTTTTATAGCATCTTTAAAAGATGAGTCTTAAATGCTTTCTGTGCTCAGGTATTCATTAAGTGACAAAAGAAGAAGGAACACCTTTCGAGAAATGGTATCTCCTTTTGAGAAATGGTGTCTTCTTCTTGCCTGCTTTACCCATTATCTTGGACCCTGGCATAATAGAACTTCCCTTTACCCAACCCTAAGCACCAGAGAAGCATCTCTCTGTATCTATTGCACACAAATCTCCTCTTGGCCGTGAGGAAGGAAGGAAAGAAGGCAGAGAGGATTTCCTTCTTTGGTTCCCTTCACCCTAGGTTCAAAAGCCAAAGGTCATGGGAGCTTTCCCTTAGCTACTCCTCCAGCCCACCCCTGACATCTTTACATAGCAATTAAAATGACTACCCTTACTTCCCTGGGGACCCTGTCTCACTCCCTCCAGCCTTTGCACACATACTTTCTTCTTCGTGGAAAGAAGAATGTTCTGTCTTACTGTTTCCTGGAAAATTCTTTCTTCATGTAAATTCCCTTTAGAAATTGTCTCCTCTGAGAAGCCTTCACCGGCTCCTCAGTTCTAGGATTGATGCCTCTTCTCTAAATTTACATGGATCCTTAAGTCCTCCCTGTGCCCCATTAGAGCACTGATGACATTTACTTTGAAATTCCCCTGTTACATGTCTGTTTGCCTAAGTAGACTCTAAGCATCTGCAGAACAGGGGCTGTGTCTTAGTATCCAGGGTATTTTCTTCACCTAGCACAATTCCTGCCACAGAGTAGTGTGTCAGCTCTCCACTGTTGTCTAAAAACCCACCTCAAGGGTGGGGCGCAGTGGCTCATGCCTGTAATCCAGCACTTTGGGAGGCTGAGGCAGGTGGATCATTTGAGGCCAGGAGGTCAAGACCAGCTTGGTCGACATGGTGAAACCATGTCTCTATTAAAAAATAGAAAAATTAGCTGGGTGTTGTGGCATGCACCTGTAATCCCAGCTACTCAGGAGGCTGAGGTGGGAGAATCGCTTGAACTCACAAGGCGGAGGCTGCAGTGAGCCAAGATAGTGCCATTGCACTCCAGTTTGGGCAATAGAGTGAGAGTCCAACTCAAAAAAATAAATAAGTAAATAAAAAATAAAAACCCAGCTGGGCACAGTGGCTCATGCCTGTAATCCCAGCACTTTGGGAGGCCGAAGTGGGTGGATCACTTGAGGTCAGGATTTCGAGACCAGCCTGGCCAACATGGTGAATCCCCATTTCTACTAAAAATACAAAAAATGAGCTGGGCGTGGTGGTGCACGCCTGTAATCCCAGCTACTTGGGAGGCTGAGGTGGGAGAATTGCTTGAACCGGGAGGTGAAGGTTGCAGTGCGCCAAGATTGTGCCACTTCACTCCAGACTGGGCAACAGAGTGAGACTCTGTCTCAAAAAAATAAATAAATAAAAATAAAAAAATAACAACAAAAACACATCTCAAATCATGACTTTAAAAAAAAAAAAAACCCACCTCCAATAATGGCCTTTAGCAACACCATTTATTTGCTTATAATCCTGTGGGCTGGCAATCTGGGCAGAGCTCTGCCAGTGTGATCCACCACTGCTCCATGGGTGCCAGTTGGGACTCCACACACCTTTGTGGTTAGTGAGCAGTTTGGTTGGAGGCTGATTGACCTTGACTGGCCTCATGTTTGTGTCTCAAAGTCGGCTGGGGCTGTCAGCTGAGATTCCTTAGTTCTGCTCCCCATGGCCTTTCCCCATGGCCAGCCCAGGCTGAGATCTGAGATTGAAGAGGGTGAGAACAGAAAGTACAAGGTCTTCTCTTGACTTGAAAGCTAGTCCAGAATCAAGGGAAATAAAGCCCACCTTTTGATGGAAGGAGCTTCAAAGAATTTGTAGTCATTTCCAATCCACAAAGAGTAGGTACTCATTATTTGTTGAATCAAGTCCTAAGAGTAGGTACACACTAAGCGTAGGTACCCACTATTTGTTGAATAAAGCCCTATCGAAAGCTTTTTAGCTATCCAGATGCAAATTACTGGCCAATCTTTGGACAGAATTATAAAATTCTACCCAAAATTCTACCAAATTACTCGTACTTGTAAAATTCTACCAAATTACTGGCCAACTTTTGGGTAGAATTGTAAAATTAAGTTGTGAATAAAGCTTATTGCCTAATAAGAACTTCCAAGTCAGAGAATCCCAAAATGATTGTGCTACACAGGGCCACATAGAGCACAGCTTTGTCTTTTTTATTTTTTGAGATGGAGCCTCGCTCTGTTGCCCAAGCTGGAGTGCAGTGGCGCAATCTTTGCTCAAGGCAACTTCTACTTCCCAAGTTCAAGCAATTCTGTTTGAGCCTCCTGAGTAGTGGGACTACAGGCATGTGCCACCATGCCCCATTTTGTATTTTTAGTAGAGACGGGGTTTCACCAGGTTGGCCAGGCTGGTCTCTAACTCCTGACCTCAAATGATCCGCCTGCCTCGGCCTCCTATAGTGCTGGGATTATAGGCATGAGCCACCATGCCTGCCTGCTTCGTCTTTTCACTGGGCTAATGAAGATACAGGTGTGGAATGGTTTCATGGCATGCCCAACCTCATGAGGCTTGTTGGGTCAGAGCCTGTGCCAGATGCCAGTCTTCTGCCTTCCAGTCTTATAGTTGTTACACTATAGCCTTCTGCAGTGGATGGTAATGTGGCCAAAATAAGCCTTTGGTTTTGGAGTATTCATAAGCTGAAAGTGGGGCCATGTACCTTGACGCTGGGGGAATATATTTTAATTGACTCAAGCCTTTCGTTGCTGAATATCTTTTTTTTAAAAAAAGTATTTTGCCTGATATTTTCACAATTGTTCTGCTTGAAATGTAAAATTCCAATTTCTAAATGTAATACCAAGATTTATCCTAAATTAACAATAAGCAGTGTTTCTAATAGCTTTTATTTCATATATATGTGTGTGTGTGTATAATCTTCAAATAGGAAAGTGTATTGTGCATGAGGTTTCACTCACTGAGAACCTCTGAAATGTCTTTATTTGCCCCCTTTAAAAGAAACTATGATTTCCAGGCATTTGTGTTTATGTTTTTGCTATGGAGATGAAAGTAGTTTCTGTTTCTTCATTAGCATAGGATGTGCACATTGAAAGCCCTGTTCCCTTGTAGAAAGAAAAATGCTGTTGCCTTTTGGGTTGATTCTATTGTCTGATGTTTTATTAATCTCTGTGAAATAATTGTGTAAATTAATATAGAGACTAGTTGAGAAACGGTGGATAACATGAAGAAGATACCCATTTTTGCATAGATCAGATGTGATCAACTTCACACTATCATGTGAAAGGTGGCTGCATCGGAGAGACAGGAATTAATATTAAAAATGTTTTCTATTCAGACTGATATCTTACATTTCCAAATATTATTTTCTTTTGAATATGCGGTATAAGTAATCTGCTGTAAGTCCTATTTTAGGTTGGGTGCAGTGGCTTACGCCTGTGATCCCACCATTTTGGGAGGCTGAGACCAGGAGTTTGAGACCAGCCTAGGCAACAGAGTGAGACCCTATCTTTACAGAATGTAAATAATTAGCCAGGCGTGATGGCACATGCCTGTAGTCCTAACTGCTTGGAGGCTGAGAAGGGAGGATAGCTTGAGCCTGGGAGGTTGAGGCTGCAGTGAGCTGTGATCACACCACTGCACTTCAGCCTGGACAATAGAGCAAGACACTATCTTGAAAAAATAAAAAGACCAGTTTTAAACTGATGATATTAACTATTCTCTCCTGTTGACTATTAATCTTGTTTCATTTTTATTATAAATAAATCAGAATGACTAAAACATTTCAATTTTGCTAGTTGACTGAAATGTATTGATGTAGTTGGCCATGGTTTTACTCACTTAAGGCAGAATTTCAGGTGTAACATGTTTTTTCTTCAGTTCAGTACCAAAAGGACAAATCTGCCATGTACCAAAATGAAACTTGTCATCAAAGACAGCATATGGTATTGTCAAATGCATTAATAAATAATAAAGATACTTAATATATATCTTTATTTTAAAATTATGTTGAGATTTACTTGCTTCTCTTATGAAAATGTATACCATAATACTTAAAATTATTGTATGAAAACACATAGGTGTATAGCGTGAAATAAATGCCTTTTTTTTTTTTTTGAGATGGAGTCTTGCTCTGTCACTAGGCTGGAGTGCAGTGGCATGATCTCGGTTCAGTGCAATCTCCGCTCCCCGGGTTCAAGCAATTCTCCTGCCTCAACCCATTGAGTAGCTGGGACGCACCACCACGTCCAGCTAATTTTTTGTATTTTTAGTAGAGACAGGGTTTCACCATGTTGGCCAAGATGGTCTCGATCTCTTGACTTTGTGATCTGCCCTCCGCGGCCTCCCAAAGTGCTGGGATTACAATCACTGCAGCTGGCCCACATTTTTTAAAACAATGACTTTAGGGTTTCAGATTTTCCTGTCTTTCAAAACAAATTAGCCATTTTTTATCCTAAGAAAGGGTTGCATTATAAAGCTGACCTACTACTAGCTTATCAGAAAAAACACATGGGTCTCATATCTGATTCTCCTATGTAGCCAAAAGTGCCATTTGTAAGTCTACTTAATGATGGATATTTTCTGAAGATCTTTTGCCTGGAAAACAAATAGTGCATTAAAAAGCTTTTTTGGTACTCTGCTGGATTCAGAATTATTTTCTCCCTACCTAGGTCAGTATTGATGGGTATAACAGAATATTCTATGTGGAAAAATACTGTGTGATTGTCTGCTACTCTGGGAGAATGTTAAATTTTTTCCCGATATTTCATGTGTGTATGGGTTACTGTAAAGTATTGGGGTGAGAGGTTATTCAGACTACACTCAACATTAACCAAAAATATTTTTGAACTTTCTGTAATTTATTCACTCACTCATTCATTCTTTCATTCAGGAAACCTTACTGAGGACTGGGGTTGTGCTGGACATTGTATACAGGCACTATGAATAAAAAATGAGTAGACATGCCCCTGGACCCAGATAATCCTTCAAGAGTCACCTTTTAGCCTGAATCCTAGAATTCTCCACATATAGGAGGAAATAAAAAATCATGGTGTTAAAACAGGTGGCTTAATGCTAGAAACCTCTATCCAACCCGAGCACCAGAATACAGATAATAATTTACACTTACCTGTATTCTTTTTCCCAGCCACTTTTCCTCATCCAAGGAAAACACAGTGATGAACATTGAGTTTATAAGTTTCTTGCTTTTTTTGTTCCTAAGGGTTGTTTATGTTTTTACAAAATGAACTTCGTTAAAACAGCACCAAGTTTTGTATAATCTTCTAGGACTTGGTTGTTTTCATCCAGTATTAGTATTATTAAGTTTCTTTCAGATGTTTGTGTATAGTTGTGATTCATTCATTTATCACAGCTTCATACATTTCCAGACCACCAATTATTTATCTGTTTTCTTGTCTATGGGCTTTTGGGTGGTTTCCATTTTTGTTGTCAGAAGTGGGGTTACTGTGAACATTCTCATCGCATCTCCCGGGGGTCCAAGTGAAGGAGTTTCCCTTAGGAATCCACTTAGGAGAAAAATTGCTGAGTCGTAAGGAATGTGAATGCTCAGCTTTACAAAGTCACATCTAACTAGCCTCCAAATTGGTTGAAGTAAAACATAAAAGTGATGCATAGGCTGGGCGCGGTGGTTCATGCCTATAATCCCAGCACTTTCGGGAGGCCTCAAGTGACTCAGGTGGGTCGCTTGAGGTCAGGAGTTCGAGACCAGCCTGGCCAACAGGGTGAAACCCCGTCTCTATTAAAAATACAAAACTTAGCCGGATGTGGTGGCGGGCGCCCGTAGCCCCAGCTATTCGGGAGGCTGAGGCAGTAGAATCGCTTGAACCCAGGAGGCAGAGTTGCAGTGAGCTGAGATCGCACCACTGTACTCCAGCCTGGGCGACAGAGTGAGACTCCATCTAAAAAAATTAAAAAGTGGGGGTGGGGGAAGATGTACAGTAATCAATATCTTCTCCAACACTTGAGATTTGAAACTTCTTAATTTTGATCAAACGGGTGTTTATTTTGTCATTGATACTAAGGATTCTACATTGTTGCAAAGCTAGTAAACTTGAAAGCACAGAAACCCTAAGAAGTAGTTTGCCATCCTAACTTACTACATCACTGTCTTTATAATACTCAGGATGTCTTGAAACGTTTATCTTACAGCTCTGTGACTAGAGTGAGGCCATGATTATTAGGAATTGGTGTGACATATTCAGGAACATGCAACAAATGATTTATTGAGTGCCTGCTATGGCCAGTCACTTAATGTTTGGCCAACAGCAGTAAGTAAGACAGATCCCTTTCTTTATGAAGTTTGCATATTATTGGGGGAGACAGACAATAAGTATGTTATATAAATAAAATAATTAATTTTAGATAGGGGTAAGTGCTAAGGAGTAAATGAATCCAAATGAGTGATAGAGAATGATCAGACTTCATCTGAGAGGTGAATGAAAAACGGGGCTTCCGGGTCTCCGATTCCAACAAGGCACCATTCACATTACAGTCTGTAAGAACCGCACCTTCTGAGTTATGGAGGGCAACAGCCCTGAGCAAAAGCCTCTGCAAACCTGATGTTTTGAGTTAATGTCTAAAATATAGGAATGAGCCAGCCCTAGAGAAATCTGGAAGAAGAGCACTGCAGGCAGAGAAAACAGGAAGTCTAAAGGAACCAAGACTGTAAAGGTCATTGTGGTTACAAGCCTGGGCCCTGGGAACATAAAGTCCAGGTTCAGGCCAGGCACAGTGGCTCACACCTGTAAACTATGGGAGGCTGAGGCGGGTGGATCACCTGAGGTCAAGAATTCGAGACCAGCCTGGCCAACATGGTGAAACCCCGTCTCTACTAAAAATACAAAAATTAGGTCAGGCATGGTGGCTCTCACATGTATTCCAAGCACTTTGGGAGGCCGAGGTGGGTGAATCACGAGGTCAGAAGTTTGAGACCAGCCTGGCCAACATGGTGAAACCCCGTCTCTACTAAAAATACAAAAAAATTAGCTGGGTGTGGTGGCGGGCACCTGTAATCCTAGCTACTCAGGAGGCTGAAGCAGGAGAATCACTTGAACCCGAGAGGTAGAGGTGGCAGTGAGC